GAGACTCCCAGCTGCCTCACCCCATGCCATTTGCATTTCATCAAGGGTCAAGGCTGGCTACCAGAATGTGAGATGCTGATGGCTGATTCTAGGCCTGGGCTGGATCTGAGGGTGTATTCCAGTGGTTAGAGAGTTCGCCTAGAAAAACCAAGACCCTGGATTCAGTCATCAGTAATGCAGATTTTAAAAATGTTTTTTGACTAGTGTGGAATTGGCTTTCTAAGTTGTGATACCCAGGCTTGGGCCAGAGCAGGCCATGTACCAATGGGCCTGAGGACTTGCAAAGGCCGAGTGCCTTCCCAGAAGACCTACCCTGATACCATGTGAGGGCTTACCCTACTCAGAAAGGTGGCGGGGGTGGTGGTGGGGGGGCGGCAATATGTGCACATGTGTGCACGCATATGCATGACCACGTGTACACAGAAGCTAGAAGAACATGTATGGCATCCTCTATCACACTCCACCTTAATCCCTTGAGACAGGGTCTCTCACTGACCCTGGAGCCAGGTTGAAAGTGGTCAAGTAGATCCTAACTCTCCCTCCACAGTGCTGGGGCTGCCCTGGCTTTCCCCTGGGATGTGAACTCGGGTACCTATATTTGCACAAGTGCTCTTATCCACTGGAGCATCTCTAAGCCCCAGAGGACCTTCTCAATCCACTCCCCCATTTGAAATCTTGAGAGAAGGGACAAACACATGCTGTCAAGTATCCCAACAGCCTCTGGGGCTTCTTGGGGCCATGAAGGGAGGGAGGTTCTGTGCTCCTGGAGGGTTCCAAGGCTCCAGCTTGGAAATGGGAGTGGGAAAGGGAAGGGAGGGGCCATGATCCTTCCCTTCTTGCCCTTCAAAGTCACTGAACTCTGTAGAATGGGAGGCATAAGTGACACCTTTGAAGTGTCACCCTCAAGGCTCTGAACCAGGCCTCCTCAGCCTTGGCATTGCTGATCCTGGCAGTAGAAATTCTTGGTCGGGTATGAGGCTGCCCCCAGCACTGAGGGGTCTTTCTCTCCCTAACCACACCCACTCCCAAGGTAAGTAGGGCATGACAGGGAAGAGTTACTTAAATGAAACCAGATGCTAGCCTAGAAAATATGTAGCCAGGCCACAGCCTCCATCCAGTGATGGCCATGCTGGGGCCTGGGCAGGGGATGGATGTTCTCAAGCCACTGAGTCAGTCACTCAGAGCCTGCCTGGCTAAGGCCCTGGGAGGGGCAGGGCACGGTTAGGCCATGATCTCTCTTCCTCTTTCCTCCTCCTCCTGCCTTCCCTTTGTGTTCTTGCTCTTTCTCTCTCTCTCTCTCTCTCTCTCTCTCTCTCTCTCTCTACTTCCTTTTGTTATTTTACTTATGTGTATATGTGTATGTCACATGTAAGCAGGTGCTCACAGAGTCCAGAAGAGAGTTTTGGTTCCCCTGAAGTTGGAGTGATAGGCAGTTGTGAGTCACCCGACATGATTGCTGGGAGCCAAACTTGGGTCCTTTGGAAGAACATCAATCATTCCTAACTGATGAGCCATCTCTCTAGCAACCCCCCCTTTTCTTTTTTCCTTTTCCTCCTTCCTCTCTTTTTCTCACCACTTTTCCTGAACAGTCTTTCTACCCCAGTTTCTGTGAGGGCCAATCTCTGGATGTGGCAAGGCTCTTACATGTGGCAGCAACAGCAGTATCTAGGACTCCTACAGGTTGGGGCCCAGAGCAGGTAGGTCCAGAGCAGGTAGGCCCAGAGCAGGTAGGTTCAGAGCAGGTGGGTCCAGAGCAGGTGGGCCCAGAGAAGGTAGGTCCAGAGAAGGTGGGCCCAGGGCATGTAGGCCTGGAGCAGGTGTGTCAGAACAGGTGGGCCCGGAGCAGGTGGGCCTGGAGCAGGTGGTTCCAGAGAAGGTGGGTCCAGGCCCTGGGCTGAGGCAGAGTGTGAAGACTGTGTTGGTATTTTGGCTGTTGTGTAAGTCAGTTGTGAGACTTCTGAAAAGTGCTGTGTGCTTTTTCACAAACTGTGTGAGCTTCAACTGATGATAGCTTAGATATCCATGAGCCTCTGTTTCAGCCTCAGAAAAATTGAGTTAACATCTCACTTGTCTTTTAGGAGCTTTGGCAGAGGTGAGTGACATTAGAGTGACAAGTGCCTGGTACTTGGTTGGTGTCTAAGTTACTTTTCTATTGCTGTGAAGACACACCATGACCAAGGAAACTTGGAGAAGAAAGAGTTTATTGGACTTACGCTTTCAGACTGTTATAGTCCATAATAGTCAGGGTGGTAAGCATGGCAACAGGCAGGCAGGCATGACACTGGAGCGGTAGCTGATAGCTTTCATGTTCAGACAACAACCATGAGGCAGAGAGAGAGCCAACTGGAATGGGGTGGTCTTTTGAAACATCAAAGCCCACCCCCAGTGACATACCTCCTCCAACAAGGCCACACCTTCTGATCCTTCCTAAACATTTCCACCGACTGGGGACCAAGTGTTCAAACATATGAGCCTGTGGGTTCATTCTTATTCCAACCACTACAGTAGATCCTGTCAGCAAAACACATTATCCTTCCTGAGGTGGGATCTGCACCATTCTGAAGCACTTGCCACTGTCATCCTGGTCTCTAGTCCAGGGCCAGAAGGTGAAGATGCTAAGCTCCAGGTGCTTCCAGAAGTCTCTGGGTGATGACTTCTCTTGGTTTTGCTTTTTGAGGAAGAGTCTATACCCTGGGGATCTGGACTCACTGTTTAGTAGAGGAGAGGATGGCTTGAAATCCTCATCTTCCTGTCCCCATCTCCCAAGTGCTAAGATTACCAGCATGCCACTCCCCCCCCCACACCCCGTGCCAGGTTTACAACTTCTTTTTAATGTTGAATATTTATTTTTATTGTGTGTAGTGTGTGTGTGTGTGCATGTGTGGACTTGAATGTGCGGGAGTCAATGGAGGCCAGAAGACCGTGTCATAGGATCCTCAGGAGCTGGAGTTACAGGTGGTTGTGAGCTGTCAGGAATAAAACTTGGGTCTTCTAGAAGAGCAGCAAGTGCTCTTAACCACTGAGCCATCTCTCCAGGCCCAGTTTACAACTTTTTAAAATTATGTGTACTACTTAGTACCTCCTAGAAAAGGACAGCATCTTGGGAATGTGAGCAGATTCAGGCCTGGCTGCTCACAGTGGGCTGGCCAGTCCTCAGCCATAGTCGTGATGAGGTACTTTTCAGTTCTGCCAATATTAAGACCAAAGACTATTTCCTTAGGCTATTTGTGCCTCTGATCCGATTGCAAGCGTGCAGTTCCCAATATATCCCACAACACATGGGATAGAGGGGGCCCACAGATCCTCTCTCTGGTCAAACTCAAGAACATGAAAGAAAATATCCTTCCTCTAATGACTATGGAAGACAAGGTTATGTGGGGTAATAGGATCTGCCCAAGATTCAGTGTGGTGCTCAGAGAACATAGGATGGGTGGGGGCTGTGACAGGCTTGGGACAACATTCCCAGGAGAAAATGCAGGCAATCGAGAGCTGCCTGCCTGGGGAGGGTAGGAAGAATTTAAAAAATGAGAAAGGGGCCTTGTACAGTCATATGTTACCTGGGAAAAATAGTTTGTAAATCAGATGCAAAGAGCTCTATCCTGACTTGTGCATGGACATCTGCAGGAGGTCTCCACCTTCCCAACTCTATTATCAGGGTTTCTTTTCTGAGCCCCGAGGCTGGGCAGAGAGAAAATGGTTGGTAGTCGGGGTCCAGAGACAGAATCCAAGTACCCTGATGCACTCTGGTGGATGGCCACCTGCAGGCAGCCCAGGCTTTGGATTGTACTGTCACGACTCAAAGTCCCTAAGAAAATAGGAACTTGTGAGGCTGAGATAGGGTAGAGATAGGGCTACCCATTGAGTTTGAGGCCAGCTTGGGCTACATGAGAACTCAACTCAAAAAGCAAAAACCAAACCAAACCCATAAACAAATACATAAGTAAATAAAATGGACACCTGGTCCCTGGGAGATGCCGCAGGGTTTCAGGGAGCAAGGCAGTTCCATCATAGGAGAGTCAAGAAGAGTGTAGCAGGGCTAAATAAATGTCAGCACAGTATGATCCGCCTGGCAACCAGGGATTTCTAGAAGTGGTCGGATCCCGATCAATCAAGAGCAGAGGTTAAGGGGAGGTGGGCATAGGTAGAAAGAACAAACCCTTGGTAACAATGAGAGGTTCTAAAACAGAACTGGGCCAGCAGCTTGGAAGGTGGACTGCCCTATACTGAATTTAGTTGAGGTGAACCTACATTTACCCAGCACAGTAAATGCTTTGTTCTGGAGCAAAGAAACAGGATTTTTGAGGCTTCTATCTTACGGGAAGCAAGACAGCTTGTGCTGGCCTGCACTGATGGGACTCTCTAATGACTTGGAGGGACAGAAAGTATAAGGTGTGATCTGGGTGACAGGTGCCCTCATGTGGCGAAACACAGGGTGGGTGGAAGGATGGGAAGCATCTTGGAATTGGCATCACATCTCTAGCATCTTGCATTCTAGGCTGGAAGCTTTGGGATTTATTTTCCAGGTGGTAGACACAAAAGGTGCTTTTAGGAGAACAGCTGGGTAATTATGTAGCTATTAATACAGAAGGCAAATTCTGGAGTGAATGGAAAAGGCAAAAAAGGTTGAAGGAGAAAAGACATCAAAGGAGGTGACCCTTCAGGAGAAAGAGGGTGAAGGCCTGATAGAGTGTCAGGAGAGGGGAGCACTGTTCCAGAGGCATGGAGAGGAGTGATGATTGGCTGGAGGAGGAAGAGGCCTTCTGAACTGGCAGATGCCTGATAATTAAGCAGAAGTCTGCAGGGGCAGGGCCAGGTGAGGGGGACTGGCAGCTTTCTCCTGCTCTAGAAGTTCTGGCATCTTGCCCAACAGAACTATGTTCCAGGGTGACTGCGGGGACTCTGCAAGGGCCCATTCTCCTTCCTGCCCTGGCTTTAGCAAATCAAAGCCGGTTCCCTGTCTTTCAGGCCTGCCAACTTTCTCCTTCATTTTCCCTTCTTAGGACTCACAAAAATCCTCAATCCCTAGCCATGGGCCAAAGATGCCATCAGGCACAAAGTTGAAGGCGCCACAGACACCACCGTTGTCACAGACATGGAAACGAGACCGAGGGCAATCTCTGGTGTCAGCCTTTGTACCAGTAGTGGTGGATTCTCGGGGGCAGAACCAGGATAATATCAGGTTCAGCTTCTACACCTCCCAGTATTCCAACTCTCTGAACCCCTTCTACACCTTGCAGAAGCCCACCTGTGGCTACCTGTACCGCAGGGAGACCGACCACACCCGCAAACGTTTTGACGTTCCTCCAGCAAACTTGGTCATGTGGCGCACCTTAGGTCCTTGACATCTGGAAGTCTCCACCCTGCAAAGGGAAAGGCCATTCATTCCTGGAGGAGCCGTGACAGCAGAGGGGGGCTTCTTCTCAATAGCAATAAAGTTTGTTCCTCCTTTTCCTGGCCTCTAAGTGGATAGGGTTGTTACATGGTGAGTGTATTGGGGGGGGGGCGGCTGAAGAGCTGGAAGGTTTTACTCTCAGCCCCCCACCCCTAAGAATATGCTTCTCCCAGGTCCAAGTGTCAGTAGTGCTTACCAACATTCCCATGGGCCACACTTGCAATGCCTCCAAAACTAAAAAGACCCACCTGCTGGCTATATGGATCCTGCTCTCTTACGAGGTCATCGTTCCCCCTGTCACAACCATGGGAGAATGGAGACAAATACAGGAGACGAACCACTCTCTAGTAAACCATTCTTGTAAAGATGACCCTGTTTTTTTTTTTTTTTTTTTTTTTTGACAGGATTTCACTCAGTCCATTCTGGTCTCAAACTTCCTATGTACCTAGAATGACCTTGAATTTGTGATCCTCCTGCCTCACCTCCCAAGGAATGGGATCACAGATAACACCACCACTCCTGGTTTACTCAGGTTCATGCCTGCTAGACAAGGACTACAAAGTAAGCTACATTCCTAATTGTTTCTGGATTTTTGCTTGTTTGTTTTTCAAGACAGGGTTTCTCTGTGTAGCCCTGGCTGTTCTGGAACTCACTCTGTAAGCCAGTCTGGCCTCAAACTCACAGAGATCCCCCCCCACCTCTGCCTCCCGAGTGCTGGGATTAAAGGCGAGCACCACCACTGCCAGGCTCATTGTTTCTGGCTTTTTGAGACAAGAGTTTTGCTGTGTAGAGCAGGCTGGCCTTAACCTCACTCTGTAGTTTAGGCTAACCTTGAACCCACAATCTTCCTGCCCCTGTCGCCTGAGGACTGGAATTACAAGAATGTACCACCATCCTGGACTTCTAACTCAAGGCTTTTTCTGGGAGTTGAAGCCTCCATTCCTATTCTATATGGTCCAGAACAGCTAAGTATTGGATTTGCTAGTTTTTGTTGTTGTTGTTGTTGGGTTTTGTTTTGTTTTGAGACAGGGTTTCTCTGTGTAACTTTGGCTGTTCTGGATCTCACTCTGTAGGCTAGGCTGGTCTCAAACTCACAGAGATCCACCTGCCTCTGCCTCCCAAGTGCTGGGATTAAAGGAGTGTGCCACCACCACCCAGCTAAGGCTTGCAAGTCTTCTGGGTCAATGGTCAGGGAGAGGTGGGTGAAGGCAGAGACCACTGAGCCTGAAACACTGGCCTGAGAAATGTGCATGCTGGCCTTCCACACCTTACTGCGTTGGTCACTTTCCACTTCTGTGAATTTAGTGACTATGGAATCAGCCATAGAGGATGCCTGGTGGTGTACACCTTTAATCCCAGCACTCAGGAGGTAGAGGCAGAGGTAGAGTAATTTCTATGAGTTCAAGGGCAGACTGGTCCAGATACCAACTTCCGGGTCAACCAGGGCTACATGTTAAGAACCTATCTCAAAAAAGAAAGAAAAAAGACAACAACAACAACAACAACAACCACACACACACACACACACACACACAGAGAGCATCTGGGCAGCTCATTTCTTTTGTACAAGCTTTCAGCCAATCTTATGACTCTCACACCCTCCATCCCAGTCCACTCCTAGACTTCTGTGGCAGGGTTAGGTTTGTGTTTGTACGCACCTGGGCTAGTCCAGCAGTCTTTTCCTCATTGAGGAAATGGAGGTTTCAATGTTCTCCTCTCTAATAAATAAATAACCATTTTCCCAGCTCCCTTTCTAACACCCCCCACTGCCGGAACTTTCTGTCTGCCATATTTGTTTGAGGTGGGGTCCCTTTTTGTAGTCCAGGCTGCGTGGATCTTGCTGTGGCCCATACTGGACTGGAGCTGTCCATCTTCCTGCCTCAGCTTCTCCTGAGTGCTGACTACAAGAACACACCACTATGCTCATCTTGTCTGCTGTCTGCCTTAATCTCTTGGGGCTTGTATTTTTAAAAAAAAATCATTTATTTCAGTTTTGGTGAGGTTTGTAGATGCAGCAGAGATAATTAGAGGTCTTAATCATTTATTCAATAAATCAGTCTTCCCACCACAGTGCAAACTGGGTCTTTTTTTTTTTTTTTTTTTTTTTTTTAGCTTTGGAGGCTATTCTGTCACTCACTCTGGAGACTAGGCTGGCCTCGAACTCACAGAGATCCGCCTGCCTCTACCTCCTGAGTGCAGGGATTAAAGGCATGCGCCATCAACACCCATCGGGTCTTTCTTTGAGAGGCAGAGATACCAACAGAGCCATCTGTGCCCACTCTGGCTGTTCAACCTGCCCAGAGGGTGCAGGACAGGATTCTCAGCTGGAGCTTGACTCCATGAACCAGGGCCCCTTCGCTCCCTGGAGCCTCATATTGGCAGTGTAGCCACCAGGGGGGCACCTTTTATGGACACTGCCCGCGTGTGGTCCCACCGGGTTGGGGTTGGCTAATTCCAGGATTAACAGTTCTCTCAGGGTTCTGTTGTGTCGCTAAGGGGTCAGAGTACTCTGGAGGAACCCTTCTGTCATCTCCAACCAAACTTTTGCCTTCCTTCCACTGTCCCACACTTGTTGGCCCAGCGAGCAGTAAAGCCATACATACCAGCATGGCGCCTCTTATTCAGCATTTGTCCTTAGCCTCTCCTGCCTCTCTGCAATTGTTCATGTGCCTCACACTTCCCTGACCTGTGATGGTGCGCGCCTGCACTCTTCACACCTCCACCCCTTTCTGCAGCCATGCTTGTATTTGTTCACACTTCAACCCTTTCTTCAATCACACATTTTGCACACTTGTTTTTTGACAGTGTGTTTGAGCTCAAGATCCTCTCACACGTTAACCGGAAGCCTGGTCTGGCAGTGCAGGCCCGAAATCCCAGCTACACATGGGCAGATGCTGGAGAACCACAAGTTGAAGACCTGGGCACTTTAGTCAGGCCTTGTCTCAAAATGAAAAGTAAAAGGATCCTGGGGAAGCCTCTCAGTGGTGCAAAACTGGCCTATCCAGTGTGAGATCCTAGGTTCAGTTCCCAGTTAAACAAATCAAAATGTTACTCTTGAAACATGTTACTTAAGGGATCTAGAGAGATGGTTCAGTGGTCAGGGTACTGATTGCTCTTTAGAGGACCCCATTTGGTTCTCAACACCCACACAGTGGCTAACACCTGTCTGAAACGTCAATTCCAGAGGATTCCGTGCCCTCTTCTGGCCTCTATGGGTACAGAACATACACAGTACACAGACCAGCATGAAGGCAAAACAACACCCTTAAATTGTTGTACCCAAATTCTGAATCCCCAAATCACCAAGAGACCCATTTTGATGCAAAAGCAATGAGTCTTTTATTGCAGTTGTTTAACGAGCTAACCCCATGTTAGCTTGGGCCTTTCATCCATCCACCATGGTGGATGGCTGGGAAAAGACGATGAGAAACCACGGGACAAGGATCTTATAGGGCAGCATAAGGGGAGTGTCTAGGGGTACGCACAGACTCAGGATTGGTGTGCCTCCAGGCTTGGAGGGTTTGCCCTGTGTTGATTGGTCAACTGGTTTTTATGGCCCATAGGCTCTCCCAGGGTGGTTGCTATGCTCTGTGCGTCATCGATGTGCACTTGTCCATAAAGCACACCCAGAGTCGTAAAGCATAGCACCACCAGCTAACTTCTGATTGGTTCCTTGCCACGAGGCAGGCATCTGACCTCCTAGTGACCAAGGCAAGGTCAGGCAAGCACGTGTTACTGTCATGGCTGCCGAAATGGGGAGCTGGTCCCTTCAACATGTCAAAAATAAATAAATAAATAAATAACACTGAGGAACATTGAACGAGAGGACCGAGAACAGGGAAATGGACACAGTTGTGGAGTGGTGATGTCCCCCAGTGTCAGCAGAGGCTCACACATCACACCTGCTGAGAGAAGGGAGGGAGCTGTGCCACAGGAACTCAAGAACTGGACTGAACCCAGCAGAAAGCCCCTTCCTCCACACCGTGACCCAGGAGCAGCAGGAGTGAAGGCAGTGGTACCCAGTCCATTTCTCCTGCCCCTCCAGTTTCCTCCAGCGCATCTCTGGATGGGCCAGCTGTGAGTCAGAGGACAGAGGGTGGCAGTCTACAGGGGTTCATCTTTGGAGACCAGTGTCTGAGGCTCAGGGCTGCATGGACATGATGAAGGGGAGAACCAGCATGTAAACACACACTGCAGGAGGTGCTAGGTGTTGAATGTGACTGAATTTGAATGTCTGCTCTCTGGAAGCTTCCAGGCCCCTAAGGTTAGCCTGGCAGACAACTACTTGCAGTCCCAGAAGGAACTAAGTGTTATGTCTCTGTTATTGTCTAGTAGCAAATGATGCCACAGATCCTAGAGTGTGCCTGGTGGTTTCCACTCCTGGTGTCTTGTCTTTGCACAGTCATCTCCCCAGGGTGTTGGTGAGGGCTGAACTTGCTTCCACAGACTACACAGAATGTGACAGAGGTGATGGTTTGCCACTGACTTGAGAGGCTACATTGTATGACTCCCAGTTAGCAGATTGGAGGAGACTCACCTTACTGACTTGATGGAATAAGAGGCAGACCATGGAAGGATCTGGAACACGAGCTGTGGGCAGCTCATAGAAACCACAACCGAGACCAGCGACTCCCTCAGACAACATTGAGCATAGGCCTAGAGCACCAACTGTGGCAGGAACTCTGCCCAGCTCCAGGGGGTCGGAAGGCACAGCCCACTGACTCCCTGACAGCAGCGTGTGAGACCCTGCGCTGCAGAAACACAGGGTGACGAATGTGTGTGCTTAAGCTGCTGCATTGTGGTAATTCATTCTGCAGTGTAGAAATCTCATACTGAAATGTAAGCAAAATGTCAGTGGTGCTCAGGGGGAGATGAATTCTGCTGAGATCTGGAGATGATCCCTCTATTTCAAGTCTACAGAACTCAACCAAAGCTGGGGGTCCCCTTCCC